ACCTAAGAAGAAGCTTAGTTGGGATTGCGTAGCCCTGAACGTCTGTTTTGGCTGATGAGCTTGACATCTTTGTTAAACGAGTGTTAATTTGGTTGGAACCATTACTTAGCTGGCAAATTGAGTAGCCTTCTTTTGGACGGCGGCTCAACACACTCTCTCGTTCAATCTTTTAACCAAACATAAGTAATTATTACTCTAATTTCTACCACTATTCCTAACATTCAACTTATTCCCTAATCTATTAGTTTCAATGGTCTCTCTTATCTTGTGTTTCGTAGCAGACATATCATAATCAGCAAACCTCTGCTTACGAGACCATTATATCTCATGCCCAGTCTCCGTCATGTGTTCCGCTACTTCTGACCGTTCGATCCAATCGCCTTTACAAGCATTTTTGTGCTTCGCTAATCTTTGGCGGATTGGTTGACAAATCTCACCAACATAAGGCCGACTACAGGAGCACAATTTTTTAACAGCCTGATCTTAATAGTAGATCATTTCTCTCTAAAGAAAGGTTTAACCAAAGAAAGTGTCAGAATTTCTTTGAAAACGGCCTTTATCCCCCATTTCCTCACTAGCTCTCCTATTTTCTTGGAAAGGTAACAGAACGGAAAGAATAGAGCATGAGAAAGGGTCTCGGTTTGCCGCTGACCAAGTAGTCTGCCTGAAAATTTATTCCTCATTAAAGATTTATTATTATCAATTAACTCCAAAGAATAATTATTCTCCGGGAATAAAACTTTCAGTCTTGACCCTTAAGCCAAATGATTTTCACCCGCATGCTTCATACTCTGAATAATCATAAATATAAAAATGCCATCCTGGTTTGTATAATACAGCTTGGTAGAACGATTGCCCTATTTTTTTCCGTATCCTTATCTCTATCCTTTTTTCTTTTAGACCGGTCGGTCCTCCTGGGCCTCCATCTTATGGTGGTGTCCAGTTGGGTGGCGCTGCTCGTTCGCTGGCCACACTTTATGGTCTGCTGACAGCACTCTGCGAACTGGGTCCAGCTTCGGCACGTACTCTTTTACTGCCCCTTCTGCCAGGCTTGGCTCGCCGTCTTAACACCGGCTGGCTTCGTCCGTTGCCGGCCGCTACTTCCAATACAAACCCAACCTCAGTACCGACCATCGTCGCAAGCCCAGGACAGTCGGACTCGTCTGCTGGTATCCTGCATCCCGTGTCCTCCATTTTGCCGGCTGATATGCGTGCCCTTGATGCCCTGCAGGCGTTGGTGATGGTGAGGCTATCAACTTTTCACATGACTTTCTCATCTTTTCCCATTCGGCTTATTGTATTTTTAAAAATTATTTTTAGTGCACATTTTTTTGCTGTCATAATTTTGATGCTATATTCAATTGTTCCAAAGATGCACAGAAAGGCGCTACCATCTCTTATAGATTGATCTATATTCTGTCATTATCTTGACTATTCCTATTAGCTTGTTTTTGTATGGACTTGCTA